GTTTACCCTAACAATTACCTTTACGAAATGGTTTTTTGTCGGAAACGGATTTTATCATATGAAAGTTTTTTGAACCGACGTAATCTTTGCGCTACACTAATTCACCCCCCCCCTCTTAGTGCCGACTCTGTTCCTAACACCTACGATCACCATCGCTCTTGTGGGCAGTTCTGCTCGCAGGCTACCAGTAGCAGTCTGTCGCTCGCCGACTGCTTGCACGCAGATGGCGGCCAATGCTGCCATCTGCAAGGGTCCTCCTCTTTGTGGGAGAGGATGAAGGAGGTCAAGCATCCTCCTCTTTAGCGGTGATTCATATGGTAGGGGCTGCAAAGTCACTCCTAAAATTGCTAGTCAAATCTCCACACCTATTGGCTAAAGAGAAGGGGAGAGGAGAATATAAGGTGATAACCAAGAAATCTAGCCTGTGGCCCTTTAGTTCTCTCTTATTTATAGAGGCTCCTTATCAACTTAACCCTAATGGATCCTACCCTATTGGGTATTGGATCTCCGTCCAACTATCCAAGCCTTTTAGATTAGTGGATCTCTATCTAATAATCTCTCATTGGCACTTATTGGATCTCATCCATAGGATCCAATAATTCAGGGGCTTATTGGATATCCAATAAGATATGAGCTCTAACGGATATCTCATATCCAAACTTGTACTCGTCAAAACACCTATCATATATGTATGACCCTTAGGCTCAATATCAAGTTGGGCGTGAGTCATACCTGTTAGAACTTCTTCTAGCTCTGTGAATTATTATCTCCATAATAATTCACTTGTCTCATCGACTATGAACGTACTAGGCTACTATGCCGTAATCCCCAAATGATATAGGGGAATCTAATCCTTTAGACCTATATATCCTTAGTTATCGTATACTTATAGTCCCTCATCCATCTAATTTTCAAGAGACCGTATACTAGGCATGGTGTTGTCAGGCCCATACGGTTTCACCTCGAGTTTCACTCTAATCGGATTCTCTCGGAGAACTATTTCTCTCAATCCGAATGACCTTAGCCAAGGATTTGTTTTAGCAAGAACATATAGGATATTCCTCTCATAATACCGAGAGTGGATGATCCTCTATCGATAGTTAATAGTCCTCGTAAGGTTGGCTGTCACTCCCAATGATCGACTGTATTAGATCTAGAACTTCTATACCTATAAGTTTGATATCAAAGAGTGGAGTACTCATATAGGACATCCTTGGTATCTCAAGTCTAAGGACCAGGTACACCACTAGGATAACGGAATCGTTGTTTGACAATGAGGTATTATCAACCATCTAGCATTCCATGAGCACTATAACCTATATGGACGGGTTGATTCGCTATAACACATCAGCGAATCAATCATGCAAGTGTGGGGACAACGAGGTATCATCAACCATCCAGTATTCCGTGAGTGTTATAACTATAGTACAAGTACTCACTGTAGTCCTAGTGTCCCCATACGAGCAGCTATGAGACCAGCCACCTCCATTATATGGAAGGGTATACAACACACCAATTTGTCCAGTTATCTCGATGTCCATCTCAAATAACCTATAACCAGGATTATTTAGGATCTATGTTTAAAGGTAAATCGATCTCATTATCGTGATCTCGTCATGATCCGATTTCTATTGCACAGATCCATGGATATCATAATATATTTATGCATCAAGCAATATAAAGTGAGAAATGTCATAATAATAATAAGCAAAAAGACTACGTGTCATGTCACATGTGATTGGCTTTATGACACGAACGAGAACTTTCGAGTGATTAATTTGCTTTAGTTTTTTTTTTTTAGGTGTTTTTAAGTTCATAGCAAGAGTGCATTAATTTTTCATTCTAAGTTATTTTTATTGCAAAATAAGTTTAACTTCTCTGTCTAAAATTTTCATTCTAAGAGATGGTATGAATCATCGAACCTAAACTCCATATGAATTAATGAAGATAACTTAAGCTTTTCCCTGTTACTGCAACCTGTTTGTGTTAATTAGGGCTACTTAGTCCATCTATGATCGTTAATTATGACAAGATAGTGAGAGGAAACTAAGAAGCTAACATGATTCAGGGCATGTTTCATGTAATATTATAGAAACCATCGTGACCTACTTTTCTAGTCTCTAGGGGTTTCTTATCACCACTCTTCATCTAACAATATATTGAACATATTATATTTTAATTTCTTTTTGGCTCGAAAGATTAAGTTTGAGGTGCTACAAAACTACAATCACTAGCTAATTAAGTTCACCAGGATTTCTGCCAGGAACTAGACGATGCTTAGATAAATTTCAAGCTTGAGAAGGCACTACCTTGGAAGCCGATTTGAACTTAAAAAGCTTCTAAGCACTTTTGAGTGAATCAAACAAAGCAATTTTTACGTGTAAATCAAATATTTATGCCCATAAGTCACAAGCATGCTTTGAAAACTGAATTAAAAGTGCTGTAGCTTGACAGTGCCCATGACAATTCTGGTAAGTTTGGTCTATGTCGGTTCAGGTGTCAGGAAACTCAAAAGAAATTAAAATTATTGCAGTAGTCAACAATAGCATTTATCATAAAAAATGATGAACTTCTTGTTTGGTACTAAAAGTTCCCATTAATATATTTTGAAATGTCCATAGTCCATAAACAGTGAGAACACCAAACATATTAAGTGCTCATAAGTACTAAGTTGACTCTGGTGTTACAGAGTAATAAGAAACTCAAATTGTGGCAAATTGACATATCATTGCCTAGACAATGCCTTCTCGACAAATAGATTAGGAATCCATTATGGAACAAACAACTCATAACATAATTGTTTTGATAAAAAAACCAAGGCAATAAGATTCTTTTGAACTTCGGGAACGAAATTATCATCAGGAGATTGTGTGTCAAAAATAAAAGATCACAAAATTAGCAGCTTCATCATAGTTTGAACCCATATAAAGTGATTGCAAGTTATCAGTACAAAAATACTTGTCATATAGCCATCGAGATATATTTAGAGCATCACCAGAAGCTTTCACTGGAAACAAATTTCTACTGCTTTGCCACTTGTTGGTAAGGCCTATCCAGTCCCTCCTCCAGTCTTCTAATGGGAAACTCTCCCCCTTCACCAAGCTGTCTATCATGTACTTGAAATATATAGATGCTCTTGGCCCATAGTAGTCCAGTAGAAGACCACTCTAGTACTTGTTTCCTGCACAAATGAGATTGTCGCAAGAGTATTACATTAAAACAGATTGATGACACCAAAGTAAAGGGGATAAAGAAAATTGTTTCTGCATTTGTATGTACCATAATCACGAAGCAAACTAGCTTCAGTCTCAGTGTTATCAAACCACATGGTTACTTGAGTCCTTGCATTCCATTCAAACTGCACCATAGAAGCATGACAATGGCAGAATCCTACATAAATAGGCATACAAGTATTCAAATTTGAGGAGGGCAAACAGGTGACAACAAGAATCTTACCTGTTGCTCCTGTTCTGGGTCTCTTGCAAGGCGTTTGGCACTTTCCAACCAGGGTCCAAGCAGAAATCCATCATGACATGACAAAAGCAAGTCCAGCTCTTTCATAAGGTCAAGAAAGTGCTGGCTATATATGGTCACTTGTTTTAAATTACTGAGTTGGTACCCTTCTATAATCTTCAAGAATACTTTGTTTGCATACTTTGCTAATGCCTGACGGGTGAGATCCACGAGATCATATCTGGAATAATAGGAAACTAAAATTCATATAAGATCCATTATCAAAATATAGTTGTATGTTAAAAG